TTTGGGGTACACCTTTGGTGTACCCCTAGCATTGCTCTTTGCAATAAGGTTGCAAATTTGTATGGCGTCCAATTTGTGACCGATATGTCCGTCACAATTTCACAAAAGTTTAAAAATTAAAATATTTAAATTTGAATTATGCGTGTCATTCCCCTCCCTTCCCTCTCCCCCAACCAAACATAGCATTAAAGAAATTTTAATCCGCCTCCGTGGTAGATTGTTGTCGAAAAAAATTCCGAAAAATTAAAAATTGTTGGCGCCACGCACGGTGCTTGCATATTCTTTTTTTAAAAAAATCATACAAAATATTTTTTACTAATTTTTTTGGGGAATTAGTAAATTTCACTTTTGGAATTGAAACGACATACTCCCTCCGTTCCATAAAACATTTCCTATTTCAAAAAAGGCGCATCCTTAAAATGAGTAATTTTGGTGTTATTTTCTAATTTTGCCCTTACTTTATAAAAGAGTAGGATGAGATGTGTAGAATAGATTAGTCATAATTAAAAAATAATGCTAAAATTACTCATTATAAGGATGCGCCTTTTTTGAAACAGAAAATGTTTTATGAGACGGAGTGAGTATACTAGAACACAGTGACTTTATCGAATGCGGTACCATATGTTTTCTTTTTCCAATGTACTATCATTGATCATTGTTCAAGTAAATGTCCAGCGCCATTGAAATTGTTCAGAATAAATGTCCACCATCACTCGGCATTGTTCCTACCACTAGACAAAATAAGGAAATGACATACTCCCTCCGTCCCACAAAACATTACCCATTTTGAATGGTATTTAGTCAAACAGTTACACGCTTTGACTACAAATCGTGAGAAAATTATATTGAATTATAATATAAATTTAATACTCCCTCCGTCTCAAAAAGTCTTTCCTGTTTACTATTACGGCCTCTCGATAACTCCAATTTGTTTGCATGTTTTCATTGATCATTTGATAAAATAAAATATTCTTGGCATCTCTTATTTCATAGAGTTTTCGATGTAGTTTTTAAATATAATTTTTTATGTGTCATTTCCTTACTAATTTTCAAACAAAATCATTTTAAAATCCACAGGGTTTTGCACGTTAATCAAAGCAGAAAATTCTTTCTGGGACAGAGGGAGTATAATTGAATTCATCTTAGGATCTAGTTTTGATATATCAAATTTTTATAACATTTATTTATTTAGAATATACTCCCTCCGTTCCTTTAAACCCTTCCCATTTTGATTTTGGGCAAAAGTAAGAAAAGTGTAATTTTGGTTGACTTTCCAATTTTGTCCCTGATGTGATAGATAAAAGTAAGAGGTGATAGTTTGGTTATTAGTGAAAAAGTATGATGTGATAGGTAGAGTATGAAAAAGTAGGAGTAAAAGTGGTTTTTTAATAGAAAGTGAAAGTGTTTTAGGGAATTGAAAAGAAACGAAAGGAGAAGTATTTTGTGGAACGGAGGGAGTATTTAATTTATAATCAAAGTGTGTAACTGTTTGACAAAAAATACATCAAAATAGGTAATGTTTTGTGGGACGAGGGAAGTATGTTTTAGTACTATTTAGTGAAAATTTCACTTTTTTAAAGTACACAATAACCTTCAAAAAAACATTATTAATATAATAAAATACAAATTGAAATAATCTAGCATCAACAACATATCAAAAAAAATTAAACATTCACCATAGCATGATCATAATGTTTGTTTAGTGAAGGGCCGTTGCACAGACGAGAGTAGAAGAGTCTGCTCCCGAACTATGTAAACATATTGTGGTGTCAATTATTGCTTTCTTTAATTCTATAATGACACAGAAGATGTTACACCATACATTTTCTTTATGTTGTGTGATCTTCAGATTTGTTTCTACTTTCAATTTTTTTGATTTTTTTTGTTTTTAAATTGAGGCTCTTTTTGCTAATTAAATGAAATATTTATTTTATCAATAATTAATTTTAAAAAAATTTTAAATTTTGTGCTACTTCTTTCTTAAGTAGTCTTAATTTAAATTAATTAAAAAAAAACGGAGTATAAAAGAAAAAAAAGGATAGGTGTGATCCACACCACTGGACAATGGCAATGAGATGTGATAGAAAAGAGAAAATTTGACATTGAGTCGCAGGAAGGATGGCATGATGGGCGTGATCCACGTACACCTTATAACTTTAGGCTGTGTTCCGTTCGCCTGATCTGATCTAATCTGATTTTTTAAAGATCTAATCTGGTCTCATTGCAGTTACAATTAAAGCTGTTTATGATGTGATCTGATTTGATCTTGCGTGATCTGATCTGGTCTCATTGCAGTTACAATTAAAGCTGTTTATGATCTGATCTGATTTGATCTTTCCTGGTCTGATCTGGTCTGATTATAATAAGAATGAGTAATAAGCATAAAAATTAGTTGAACGGAACACTGCCTTAATAACAGTGTTATTAAACTCGGACCGGATCGGGCGGTCTGACCGGTCGAACCGCGACCCGGACATACAACTGGTCCGGTCCAACCCCCCAAAACTCAGAAAACTCAGAAAAAATCGGATCGATCCGAAAAAACCCGGATTGACCCGGGACCCGTCCTCCCCGCCGGGTCGACCTCCGCGTTTAAAATCATTGCTTAATAATCTATTCATTGGATTAAAATGTGTGAGAATAAAAATGTGACATTGTATTTGAGAATTCATTAATGTTTACCTCCATAATGATATTGTTATGCTTATTAGCGTCCAACGAAAGGTGGAACTATTTTTGTTCACAATATATTTGTTCCTTTTTCGTCAAGCTAGGTGGGTCGATACATAGTAGACCCAATTTAAAGTTTTTTGTCCGGAAAGCTAATGCTTCCTTTATGCTATGATAAGATTTTAAGATTCTTTTCGTTTTTAATTTGATCTTTAAAAATATTTTTAGCCGTTAGAAGAAAAATATTTCCCCATGAAGTATCAATTTTAATTTTCAATGATTCACAATATAAGGGGTAGAATATATTGTTCTAGGAATAATATTTTATTTCGAATAAAGAAAGAAAATAATGTTTATTTAATATGTTTGGATATATAGAAGTTCATCCTACCTATTATACTCCCTCCGTCCCTAAATAAACTTCCTCTTTCGTTTTTTCTTTGTCTCTAAATAAATTTCTCTTTTCCCTTAAAAAATCCCTTTTACTTCTCACTTTTTCATACCTTACCTATCACATTATACCTTTTTAGTAATAATCTACCTATCACATCTTACTTTAACACATCACATCAAGGGTATTTTTGGAAAGTCAACACCAAAATATCCCTCCCTTAAATCCTCAAAAAGTCAAAAATGAAACTTTATTTAGGGACGGAGGGAGTAGTTTGTAGGCAAATTTTCGTGCATCTAAGGTCCGTACTCATTTTATGGACCTTAGTGCATGTATATGTAGGATAAAAGAATGGGGCCTTTGCAACAACAAAAAAATACATGCAAGCTCATGAAAAATGTGAGAAAGTCCACATTTTAAATGTTGATGTTGGGACCATAAAATTCTCTTCGGTTTTGATCTTTAAAAGTATTTTTTTTTTGCATTTAAAATATCAAAATTACTCTAACTTATTTTATTTATTACATCTCACCATCAAATTTAACCCATCTTTATTGAGTGTTGTTTGATAAATTTTTATCTTTTTTCAAAAAATAAAATAAAACAATAAAAAGTTCAAAAGGAGAATATGGGAGAAAGACTAGTTCAGATGCCGGCTATTTGTATATCTGATCTGTACACTACAGCTAAAAAGAGGTAGATACGGATCAGTGGTATTAATGGTACGTGTTACAATACAATAAATCATGTACGTGAATCACGTTGGCCTCATTTTTTAACTCCGCATTGAGTCGGATAATCTCGGCCATAAGCTTTTACTACATGATCATATCATGGTACGTCATCATTTAGTGAGGAGTTTATATTTACCTACATAGGACTAAAACATAATAACTTTCTCAATATAAAACTATACGGAATACTTGGGAGTACGTTTTATTTTCTAATATAAGATCTTTGGTCAATATCCATTAGTTGTAATTCAAGTAAATGTCCACTATCACTAGACATTATCCCACTCACTAGACATTATTAATTCCTATTTAAGGAATAAAAAAGTTTAAGTCCTACATTGGAATATGTCTTACTCCCTCCGTCCCACAAAGAAGTTCTCATTTTGATGTATTTTTGGTCAAACAGTTACACGCTTTAACCATAAATTAAATATAATCTAAATAAACAAATGCTAAAAAAAATTTGAGATATCAAAACTAGATCCTATGATGAATCTAATTATATTAAATTTATTTTATAATTCAATATATCTTTCTCACAATTTGTAGTCAAAGCGTGTAAATATTTGACTAAATACTACTCCCTCCGTTTTTTAAAAGTATTCCTATTTTGACTTTGTGTAAAAATAAGGAAGTGTTAAATTGTAGTTGACTTCCAATTTTGGCCTTGATGTGATGGTAAAAGTAAGATGTGATAGATTGAGTATTAGAGAAAAAGTATGATGTGATAGGTAGGATATGAAAAAGTAAGGGTATGTAAAAGTGGTTTTTTAAAAGAAAGTGGAAGTGTTTTGTTGGAAGTAAAAAAAATGAAAGAGGAAGAGTTTTTGAAAACAGATGGAGTATTTAAAATGAGAATTTTTTTGTGGGACGGAGGGAGTATGTTTTAGTCGTATTTAGTGCAAATTTCACTTTAAGTTACTCCTTCCTTCCAAAACCTCCTTTCCCTGTTTGATTTGACACGAATATTAAGAAAGAATTAAAAATTGTGAAGACTTTTCAAATTGTTGCCCTCGGTGTGATGAAATAAAGTGGATAGTGTAGAAGAAAAAATAAGAATATAATGGTACATTCATTGAATATACTTTTTCCAAAATAAGAAATGAAAAAAAAGGTTTTGTCAACCAAAAAGGAAAATCGATAAAGAAATTAATGGAGGGTGGGAGGGAGTATTTTATTTGGAAACATACACTTGTGTACATACAAATAACGTGCAGCATTTAATTTTGCTTAACTAGCGCATCATCAGCTCTCTCCATTTAACATTTACTCATGAGATCCTCAAGAATTAATTAATTATACAGATGGACGGGATGACGGAGCAACAGCTGTGGATGACAGCGACGACGACAAGGAAGAATGGGCGGCGGCGGCGGCGGCGGGTTTGAGGCTGTTAATGTGTTTGATCTCGCCGTAAGAGTAGGAAACGAAGCCCCAAATGGAGAGGAAGAGGGAGATGCCCTTCTCGGCCTGGAACTTCTCGTGGTAGAATACGACGGCGAAGACCTCCGTGACGGGGAGGAGGACGGTGATGATGACGCCGGAGAGGAGTGATGAGCCGTAGGATATCACTCCCACTGCCCCCACGAAGAACAACTGCCACGTCATGCTGCTCGCCACTGCTAATCCGTAGTATTTCCCTAACCCTAATTCATACTCTCTTGCCTCCCTCCCTATTGCCTGCAATCCTCATAAATGTAATCCTAATTAATAATTTTGATCGAAAAAAGTCGTATAAGAATTTTGTTAGGAGGAACAATATATAACATTGGTTAATATTTTTTCTGTTTTCATAAAACGGTTCCTATTTTGACTTTGAGGAAAAATAAGAAGTGTATTTTGTGGTTGACTTTACAATTTTGTTCTTGCTATGATGAGTAAAAGTAAGATGTGACGGTTAGAATTATTCGTGAAAAAGTATGATGTGATAGGTATGGTAAAATAGTTATAGATAAAAGTGTTTTTCTAATCGAAAATTAAAGTATTTTTAAAGAAAGCAAAAAAATGAAAGAACAAGTAGTGTTTAAAAAAAAGAAAGGAGTACTATTTTTTTAAATTTGTCTCCATACCTATGATAAGGAGTAGTACATAACTCCACAAATGAAGGATGGTAGTATGAATATACAGACCGGAGACCAAATATAGTTTCTCCACACTGGCCGCCACATGCACATTTATTTCCTCCAACTAGCTATATGTATACTTATATGAGTAATGATACCCCAACAATCTAAACTCCATCTTTAATGCCATTCTTACAAACTTTTTGGAGCTTAATTTGATGTCTCCATTTGAGTCCATACTTATTTTATGGAGCTTAGTACTTCCTTTCCTTCGTCTCGAAAACACCTCCTAATTGGGTTTGGCACAAAATTTTAGAAAAATAAAATTATGTGGTTGAAACTTAAAGTAATGCAAAAGAAGATAAAGATGATGACCGCACAAAATTTGTCAAAAATGGAAAGATCGGTCTTTCTTTGGGACCTCTCGATAAGAAAATAAGGAATGTTTTGTTGGAGACAAAAGTACATAAATAATACTTCTTCCGTCCCATAAAGATATTCTCGTTCTGACTTTGAGGAAATTTAAGGGAGAGATAAGAATTTTGTGTTGACTTTTCAAAAATATCTTTAATTTGATAAAAGAAGGTATGATATGATAGATATGTTTAAAATTAATAAAGATAAAAGTGATTTTTTAATAAAAAAGAAGTTGGTAGGACAAGAAAAGAAGGAAAAGCCTTTTTTTAAAGGAAGGAAAAAATTAAAGAGAAAAGAAGCACAAAAAAGGGGTAGTGGGTGGTGTACGTAACTACGTATCACTGTTGGTTGACCTACCAAAAAGATCACTCAAAAGACAGTCTGAATTACTTCTATATACTTACCACTAAAGAATCACTTCAAATAATTATGGTTCAAATTTGTGTTTCTACGCTTATAAGCCGTTTTATACCCTAAACTCAAAAAAATTTAAAGAAAACTGAAGTAATTATATTAATTAAATATATATATATATACATACCTGAAAATCCTTGTTAATAAGCATGCCTATGGTGGCAAAAAGAGTGGCAACAAAACCCATAATCAGCTGAAACTCCAAAACTAAATCAAAGCTCGCACTCTGCTTCCCCTTCCTATAGCTCAGCTCCACCAACGGCAGTATCAACCCGTAAATACCCGCCGCCGCCACCGTCACCACAAACCCCACAACGTACCCCTTCTCCGACTCCCCCGCCGGCCTGTCGCTCCCCGCGTGCACGCCCAGCACCACCGCCCCCAGCGTCAGCAACACCACCGCGTTGACCGAGTACGCGGTGAACTGTTGCTTCACGAGGAGGAAGGCGAACCCCGCCGTGAAGGCGAGCTGGGTGGCGATGATGAGGGACGAGGTCGACACCGGGAGCTTCGCCACGCCGTAGGAGTAGAGGTAGTTGTCCACGCCGACCAGGATGCCGATCGAGGCGGCGCACACGGACAGGAACGGCGTTATCTGGAACAACTTTGCTTTCTCGGGGCTTTTGCCGCCGCTTCGGCGTCGGTGGTAGGATATGAAGAGTGGGATGAGGATGAAGGGGAATCCGGCGGTCTGTATCCAGCTGGCAAACCATATCAAGTGGCCGCCGCGGAGGAAGTAGAGGCGGAGGAGCAGAGGACCGCCGCAGACTCCGCCGGCTAATATTAGACTGCTTAAGCAGAGGAGCAATCTCTTCATCATTTTTTGTGATCGCCTGACCTTCCTTTTTTATGTTGTATAAAAAAAATGCAAATGCAACCAGTTATATACAGGGAGAAACTTACATATAAACACGACAAACACATACATACATACCTTTTTTTACCCATAAAAGTTAAAAGTGGAAAGACACTCGTTACAAACGCACGCAGATGGTAGAAGATAAAAAGATTAAAGTAGAAATAAAACATTAAAAATATTTAAAATAGGTCTTCCATGTTTTTATTTCCAAAATAAGAGTTAAATGCATTTACATTACCAAACGTGGTCATGTATATTACCAAACAGTATAGTAATGTGCACGTCTACAGTGCAACATTACCTCCATATTACCATTGTGCGAACTTCTATTTCGAGAATAGAAACATATATAGAAGTCCTATTTTAATATTTTTTATATTTTAGTCTTATATAGGGTGATTTCTAATAATAAAATTTACCCGAGTTTTACTCATAAATCTCAAAGTATGGGGATCCGATCCAAAGTGGAACCACTATTGAGTTTTGATAAACGATTACCACTCATAGCCAAAATAAATTAGGAAAATTTACTTAAATAGCACTAAAATATAATAACTTTCTCTAAATAGCATCGCGCGATCACATGTGTTTTTTCCAATGTAGCAGTTTTAGTCATTATCCATTAGTCTTTATTCAAGTAAATGTTTGCAATCACAGGACATTATGAACATTATTAAGTACTCCTTCCGTCCCAAAAAGATTGGTACATATTGTTTTTTTGGGAAATTAAGGGAGAGATATTTTGGTGTTGACTTTCCAAAAATACCCTTGATGTGGTGTGTAAAAGTAGGATGTGATGGGTAGATTATTAGAAAAAAGGTATGATGTGATAGGTAGAGTATGAAAAAATAAGGGGTAAAAGTGGTTTTTTAATGGAATGTAACGGATTTTACGGGACGCAGTTTTTTCGAAACGTGTCGGACTTTTTGGGATGGATGGAGTACTATTTAAGAAATAAAATAATTTAAGTATTATTCAAGATAATGACTTAAATTTTAATGTTATTTAGTGCAAATATTTCAATAAAAAATCCTCCAAATATGCCAAAAAAAAAGGAAAGCTGGCGCAGTCAACTGTGTGCAGTAACTCATCACGCCGCCCATATACCAAACATTTACGCACGAACTACGTTAGGGTGTTCACATATGCTGGTGGAGTGGTGGTCTCCTTTCTATCACCTCCCACTTTAAATATTTATTCAGTTTTTATTTTTTTGGAATATGGGGAATCCATTTTTCGTGTAGGGGCTTCTTTTTTTTAAAAAAAATTAGGTTATAAAACTGCTAATAAATACTCCTTCCGTTCTACAAAACCCTTCCGGTTTTGACTTTGGAGAAAAATAAGGAAAGTGTAATTTTGGTTGACTTTCCAATTTTGCCCTTGATGTAATAGGAAAAAGTAAGATGTGATATTTTGGTTATTAGTGAAAAAGTATGATGTGATATGTAGGGTATAAAAAAGTAGGGGTAAAAGTGGTTTTTTAATAGAAAGTGGAAGTGTTTTGTGGAAAGCAAAAAAAACAAAAGAGGAAGAGTTTTGTGGAACGGAGGAAATATATATTTTTTTCAATCAATTTGGGGGCAAGTGCCCCCATTGTTAAAAAATAAGATCATAAGGTAACATGTTCAAAAAAGATAGATGGTCATCGTTCTCAATGGCTCTTCAGAATCGGTCAAACAGTCATCTTGGAAGAAGTAATTTGATATTTAATCACAGGATTCACAGACTGACTCCAGTCTCCACTCGCTAGTTGCAAAAACCTATCCATAGCATATAAAGTCAAGGTACTTCGTAAAATAAGAAGTAAAGATAAGCATTGTGGTGTTACATGGAAGTGTTGTGATTTAAATAAAACTTGTATAAGATTAAGTTTTTGACTTGTTAAATATGGTAATTTGACAAGTCATTCCAATTAACTAATAATACCTATCAACAAGTCATATAACTTCCTTAAATATTACTGATTTGCTTGGTGTGCCCCAAGGTGGTGTATTTCAGGTGTCACCACCTTCTCACAGACACTCATTGTCTTTATTTCATACAGATAGTGGGTGTCCGTGTGTATATATAAAAAGATATACGCTTGAAGTATTACCTCTAGATTTTTCCTTAATATATACTCCTTCCGTCCCGGAAAACATGGGAGTTTTAATTTTGAAGAGGGATTTAAGGGAAGTGTATTTTGGTAGTGAATTTCCAAAAATGTCCTTTGATATGATGGGTAAAAGTATGATTTGATGGATAAATTATATCCGGAGTAAGTAAAAAGTATGATATGATAGGTAGGGTATGAAAAAGTAGGGGGTAAAAGTGACTTTTTAATAGAAATAAGAAGTGTTTTTTGAAACGGATAAAAAAAGAAAGGAGAAATGTTTTATGGAACGGAGGGAGTATTACTCTGCTACTACGGGATACTACTGCAATGTACATAATTGAAAATACAGCTAGACTACGTGATATATGCACGCCATATGACATAGTGCGTTATGACTTGCAAGTTGCGAGATAATATAATGAATTATTATTATTAGCAATAAATTTCAATACACAGCTTGCACATGCAATAATAATCTCTCTTTTTATCTTAATTACTCCGATCCCTATTTTCTAGCAATATTCACACTGAAAATATCGGCGTTTTCCACCAATCTAATTTCAAAATATGTGTATTGGTGGAGTTTGACTTTTCGGGGATAAATTAGATAAATTTAAGATTTTATTTAAATAAAAAGAGTAATGTATATTAATATAAAAATGATTTCATTTTTTCTTGTTGAAAACTTTTAAAATTTTATTTTATTGTATATATAAATATGCAATCAAATTGAGAGTGATCGAATGTTAAAATTTATCTAGTTTAATTCAGAAGAATCAACATGGACAAATACATTAGAATGAAGAAACTATTATTTATAAAAAATGCTTGGGTATACCAAGAATGTACCCCAAGTATGCACCACGAGCACTCTTACCGAACAATTTTTAGTGTAAATAAAAAAGAAAAAAATAAATAATAATGTGTGATTACAAACTAGTGATGTAAATTTGGGGTACATCATATTGTGTATCATTTAGTGTACTCCTAAAATTTCCCTAATTTATACTCAACCATAAAAATAAAGTCAACTATGCAAGAGATACACCAAAAGATATACCTTAAAGTGCATACCAAAGGTATAAACCAACATTTCGATGATTCATAGTAGCACAATATGTTAGTGCGATCAAAAAAAATTTGCACTACATGTGCCTATGTGAACCATCACATTGGCATCACACTAGCTCAAAATGAAAATGAACATTTGAGGTATATAATTTTGAGTATAAATTTTAGTGTATAACTAACCTAATTCAATTAAAGTACTCTTTAGCTAGATTGTTGACTTCGAGAAATAAAAAAGAATGTTAAAAATTTAAAAGAATACACCCTTCATCCCCAATTTATAATCAAATTGGGGTTTACGAGGAGAAATTTCTTGCTTTTTTAAAACATTTTATTTACAAATTGGTATATCGATAAGAAATAAAAATTATATATTAAAAAATTACGTCAAAAACTCTACAAAATAAGAGGTGTAAGAATATTTTATTTTATCAAATACTTAATGAAAATGCCTAAACAAACAAAAGTTATCGAAAGGAGAGAAAAAAATTGTAATCTAATTAGGGATGTATTATTACGGAGTATTATACGAGTATATTCATCCAACCAACAAACAATCGGCTAAAAATTTGTCAACCATTCCTAATTCCGTAGCAAAGTCTATTTACCGAGTAACGTACGTACTTTCTCCAATATTCTCAATTTATATTGTAAATTAATACTTCCTTCGTCCCAAAAAGAATTCTCTACTTTGATTAATGTGCAAAATCTCATAGATTTCAAAATGATTTTATTTTCAAATTGGTAAGGAAATAACACATAAAAATTATATTTAAAAACTACATCGAAAACTCTACAAAATAAGAGGCGATAAGAATATTTTATTTTATCAAGTGATCAATGAAAACACGCAAACAAATAAGAGTTATCGAGAAGTCGTAATAGTAAACAGGAAAGACATTTTAGAACGGGAGGAGGATAAAACTTTAAATTTTTCATATTCGGAGTATTATGATGTCATTTAATTGAAATATAAAGTTCACAGATTAGAAAAGTCAACGGTTTCATACATACATATATACTCATAAGTGGATAAGATGTAAAGTTTCTTTGGGCCTCATTCCGTTCACCTGATTTGATCTGATTTTTTGAACGTTTGATTTGATCAGGTCTCGTCTGATCTGAACTTATTACAATTATAATTCAAGCTGTTTCTGATCTGATCTGGTTTGATCTGATTATAATAAAAATAAGAATTAAACAGAAAAAATAAGTTGAATAGGACGCTATCCTAGTTATATATAGAGTATAGTTTGAAGAATTTACACAAGAAAAATATTAGAATCACAAATACAAAAATGGTAAAATTCACAAACTTGTCATTTGTATTTTAAATTTTTTACTTTTTAATTATTTGAAATTATCCATTTTTTAGCGAGGTTTATAAATAACAACTAACAAGACTGTGATTATTGTAACCTTCTTATTTGTAGCATTTTATGGGGGGGTATATTAACCTCATAAAATGGTAGCACTAAGACCATGTCCTATGGTGGGTCTGACGGGGACTTAACAGGAGGCTTGACGGAATATACAAAAATATGACGTGGAGTAATAAAAATATGTAATATGTATGTTGGTGGGGCTTGAAAAAGGAGCGTGACAAAAAAGTGATGGAGCAAAGATGTAGATTTTTTTAGTTGGTTGAAAGAAAAAGAAAATAATTGTCTTCACGACGAGATGACTATCACCCATAGTTGCCATAAAGGGGCAACAACCCATCACAACAAATTTGGCACGATGGAGAAGGCTTGAGGAAGGGACACAATGGGCCCACCTCGAAAAATAAAATTAGCCCGGTCTAAAATTTATATTTTGGGCCTTATTTTAATTTTTAGAATATTTATGCTTCAAATTACTGCCAAATTTAAAAATATGATCCTAAAATTTTAGAAACCTTGTGCGATTGGTCACTTTGCACAACCACCCACTAACACGTCACTCTTGTCAAGTCCTCAAACAAATGGTGGAGTAACTATTTGTTGTTGGCAACTTGGCATGTAGTACCTTCACCAAATTTATTGTGAATCAGAAGAGATACGGATCGGATCCGAGCAGCACTAATTATGAGCTAACGGACACT